CTTTTTTTTAAAGCCTCTTTAGTAATATCAGATCGATGTGCTAATATTTCTCTATAGACTCTGGTTTTGGCTTTGTTCAAACTTATTCTGTTATTTTGTAGTACTTCATTTACTTGCCCCTTAAATACTTTAGCAAATCGATACCAGGACCATATTTCAGCCTGGTTTGCTAATATTGCACGCTTTTGAGAACGTTCTGCTTTATTATAAAGCTGAACTAAACTCAATGTTATATTTCCACTATTTTCTTCTTCACTACTACTACTAACTCTAGATATTTCTTCAATAGGAGTAATTAAATTCGCAAGAATTTCTAAAAAATTTTTTTCTTTTCTTAGGTCAGCAGTAGAGCTACTAGATTCAGTAGATAATGTAGACCTAGTAGAATTACCAGAGTTGGATGCATTAGAGATATTAATAGTGATAGGTATAGCTAGGCTACTAGAGTTGGCGATTGTAGACGCAGGATTGTTAGAGTTAGTACTCGATATAGCTAGATCACTTGTAGATGTAGTAAGATTACAGGGATTGGTGATTAATACTAAAGGTATAGAAGTGGATTCTATAGATGTATTCATGGTAGATTCGATTGGAGTATATTCCATAGATGTATTTACAGTAGTAGGAGTATATTCCATAGATGTAGATGTATTTATAGTGGTAGGTTCAATTGGAGTATATTCCATAGATATAGATGTATTCACGGTAGTAGATTCGATTGGATTAACTTGCTGATTAGTATTTGTAGTAAAGTTTTCTGATTCTGAAGTATTTTCTAAATGTTTATTTCGACAAATAGGACAAGTATATTCCGATCCAGAAGCCCAGCGATTAATGCACTTGACATGAAAGAAGTGATAACATGTCAAAATTATAATTGGACGTTGAAAAGTTGGACTAATTTTAGACAGACATATCATACAATTATTATGTTCGTTTGAATCTGAAATATTTTCAGGTGTATTTTGAAAAAAAACTTTGTACATAAATTGTTTTAATGCTTCCATTTTTTTTTTCGATAATAAACAAGGTTTAGTTTTGACAAAAAAATCGTTTGCAATTCCTATTTATTTGTATAATTTCAACAACATAGATTTTCTCACAACATTTTTTTTAAATCTTTTCGCAACTTATTGCATGATAGATGGATAAAAGGAATTACTTAAATAATGCAGAAGTATTAGCGTATCATGAAAACAACTTATAGTGAACGGATATGAGGAGTCACTAGTAGATTTAAATAAATCATTAATAATGCAGACATTAAACAGCCATAGTGTAAGGCAAATAGATACATTATTAGCCGATTTAATAATTTTTTAGAAATTAATTCAAATAATGCAGTCACATTAAAAAAAATTTTTTTAATTAACGTTTTCAAATTTTACATGCTTTCTACAATATCATGAGATTCTATAGATTTTAAGAATATTATGATTTCAAATAAATATAAATATATAGAATCTCGGAAATTTTCTTCCATCATCATTACAAAAGTCAAGGAGTTACATCTTTTTGCAAAGCGCAATAAAATACTTGCAAAATTTTTATGATTATTTTACTTTGCAAAATTGTATTACAATAGCGATAGTAATTAATAATTACAAAACTTTAATTAGAATTAAAAAATGAAATAATACATTAATTTCATTCAGAGAAATTAAATTTAATTATTAAAATATATCGAGAGATTTATAAATATACTGTCAATTTATTTTTAATCTACATATTTTATTATTTTCTATATATTCATAAACTTTAATTATTAAATCGTTAAAATTCTAACTATCGAATTATTAAAAATTATTTTACAATTAACGTTAAGCAGATGATATTATTTAAATAATATAATTCAACTTATCACATGACTTCACGGACGTCCGTGAAGTCATATGATAAGTTGAATGGCGCATGTCGAATGGCATTCGAATAGTGCCATTCGACACATCGAATTTTACTAGTGCACGTTACGTCTGATTATAAGTTTTAATTTGTCAAAAATTATAGGAGCGCTAGCATCAATTTCGAAGTGAAAGCCTGTACCTATCTGATAGTTCATATATGATCATCCTCTTTTTGTTTATTTCATAGAACATTAATGTTTTAGAATTTTGGAGGTAGCTACCTCAGCAAAAATATCACAGCGATATGGCATATTTGCCGTATAAGTAGAAGTGCATAAATGCCATATGCCGTATAAGTGTTGTATGCTGTATTTGATTCAGTGAGTGAATTCTATTAATCGGTAGACTAAAAAAGTGATTTATGTTTACAAACACTTAACTAATACCTTTCAGATTACCGGTCAGTGAGTATTACAATAAATTTTTAATGATATAAAAAATATATATCGATATAGTGTCCTCCAATGAGCCGGCTCAAATAGGCTTATCCTACACCCATTGGCTTATTTAAGACTTTGACGTATACGTAACATATGATATATTCAAGGATATATATATTTTTTTTTTTTTTAATGTTAAAGGTGACCACTTAGGCCATTGGCATGAGCTTTATTTCGGATAGTTACGATATT